TGGTCACAAGTCATCTTTTGGGCAGTAATCTGGGGAGAGATCATAGAACCATATAGACTGGAGAGGAGCTCCATAGGTCATCTAGTCCAAACACCTGCTCCAGGTGGGTCTAATTAGATGACCTTGCTCAGGAACCTGTCTTTGAAAAAGTTATCAGCAGTGGCAAAGGGATGCACTTAATTCTCTCATTTTCTAGTTGGTACCACATTGCTCACAAAGGAGGAACCATTTTCAGAATATAGTGACGAATATATGAAAAAAATATATATTATGTTTGGTACTAGTCTAGTCTGCCCTCAAAATTTAATTAACTATATTAATTTTACAATTATTTATCTTACAATGTTATAAATTCTCATGGGTTTGCTTTTGCAGTTCCCGGAATGTGGTTTCTATGGAATGTATGACAAAATTCTGCTCTTCCGCCATGACCCTACTTCTGAAAACATTCTCCAGTTGGTGAAATCAGCTGCAGATATCCAAGAAGGAGACCTGGTTGAAGTTGTCTTGTCAGGTAACTAAAAACCAATGAAAATTACTGTCATGCTTTTGCAACTGAAAATATCCACAATATTTTTGTCCCATATGGGATTCAAGAAAAAGGAAATTTTGTTTGTATGGACTTTCACCTACACCGAGTCAAAATCTTTCTCAGAGATTTATATATATATAGGCATGTTATGCCTATTAATTTTTTTTTTCTTATTGCACTGTATACTTTTTAACAACCTTGAGCGCAAATTTAACAATAAGCACAAATTCTGTGACTGGAATGTAGAGGAAGTCTGCATCTATGAAATACGAAAGCCAGAGGCAACTAGTTGATATCAGTCTGTGTAAAGACAGAGTATGAAAGTTACAATCTGAAAGTTACTAACAGGTGAAGGGATGTAAAAAGAGATGTAGTAGGAGTGAATTATGAGGTAAAAGGCCAAATTTTGGAGGCAGTGAAATGACAAATGGTTTTAAGGAGCATGTTTGGTCAGCAGAGTGGCCATAAAGAGTAGATTACTCTAATTGAAGTAGGAAATAAGCAGAAATTCTGTGGCTGGAATTTAAAGGAATTCTGGGGATGCTGTTAGGTGTCAATAGGACTTGTCAAAATCTTAGATGTAAGAAGAGATGAGGTATGTGACTAGAATGGTGCAAATTTCACAAGGGTATGCAGTAGAGTGCTGAAACTGTAAAGTTGTGAAGATGGTATTTGGTAGATAAAGCTTAGAAGACAGTTGAAGGGCTTTACTTTTGCAGTTGGAGCATGCAGCTAGAGCATCTAGAGGGACACTTAAAACTAGGAAGATACATATGTCATATAAAAGTAGAAATCTTATCTGTAGAAGAGTGTAGGATTAGTGAAGAGAAAGCCAAAGTCCTAATGGATGCTGAAAAGAGTTGGAAGTGAGTTAGGTCACATAATCTAAGCCAACTGAGCTTTTAAATATAGTTTTCTTTATAGGACCCTGTTCCATACTCTTTGATTAGAATAGGAAAGCATATGATAAGGAATAATGCAAGTCATTCTTGTAAGTCATCATTCATCTTCTACTTTTTTCTATCAGGAAGCAATCTTTTTCCTTTTGAAAAGTTAATTTCTATTTCACAATTCACAGTGAATATAATCATTCCAGATCAGTAAAACAGATTTAGTTTAGAAAACTAAAACAAAAAAAAAAAAAAAAAAAGCAACAAATTTAGTGCTTTATTTGATGTACTGTTCATATGCTTTTGAAATGGAGACCACATATATTCCAGTTTGGCAAAATTAGGCAAGTAGCTGTTTTAATCTTCAAGAGCAGCACTTCATGCTGTACTTGCATGTCCTAAAGGAGAACTATACTGTTTAAGAGCATTAGGGCTTTAGTTGAAGCACGTCTCCGCAAAAGCAGTCAAGCATAAATAACTACAGTATTTAGAGGAAGGCTATTAAACCAGCACTGCAGGAAAGTGTGAGTGGTACAGACATTTGCCCAGGATCTGTTGTGTTTTTTTTCTTTTTCCCTCCGGCTTAGAGTACAACCTGCTGGCTGGAGACCTGAAATTTTTAATAACACACAGTACTATTCTAGCAACCAAATCTTAGCTAAAAGCAGATGCCCCAAGCACGCTCTTCTGTTACACAGTTGTTGACAGTACCAATCATCTGCATTGTGTCTTCTGGTTTGATTTTTAATGAACTCATGAAAAAAAATCATCTTTGTTTATTACCTTGATATTGATTTACATAATTTCTGCAATGGACTGTTTCTCTTTTGCAATTTACTGACTTTATAAACTGTGTCGAAAGTTGTGCAACTGTAGCAGTTTGTCATGATGCGTTAAAAAATAGAAAAAAGAAAAAGAAAATACAGAATTTAGAGAATCCAAATCTTTTAGAAGGTCATTGTAATGGAGGAAATTCATAGATTGAGAGAATTGTTGTATCTCATAAATTTACGGTGCAGGACACCTGTGTAAGATTATGATGTATTGAGCACTAAGTATATTATAATTTTCTTACATATTGTTTCATAGTTTCACAGGAAATAAGGTGTGATCATACCTGTATGGTCATAGCATTTCCGAGTCTTCAGTTTTTGATTTCATTAACTTGTTTTCACTGAAGGAAAAAAAAAAAAGTATTTCTAATCCCTGAGATAGTTCTTGTTTCAGTTTTATCATCCTATTAGCAATAGTTAGTAATAGAATTAGTTTCTTTCTCTTTTATTGTTTTGTTATGTTTGGATTTTGTGTCCTTTTGTTCATGTCGTTCTGTCCCCCCCTGCCCAGTATATCTAAAGCTAATATGGAAATACAAGGGAGAAATATTACTATCTCTTTAACCTACCAACAGTCCAGTGCTAAAAGCTGTGTTACATGTTATTTGGGGAGTGCCTAATTTGTGTAACTTTAACTACAGCCATAAGTCATGTCCTTACTAAAATGAAGTGGCTTTTTGAACTTATGAATCAGGGTTGAGGAATCCTGAGGCTCTTCTGGCAAGTTATACTGGTTTCTTAATTCCATATGGCCCAAAGACTATGGTTTTCTTTCCATGTTTTTATTCAACAATTGAAGCAATAATTTGTCTCCTCTCTGCTGGAAGATTTGAAAGACTTCCTTGGGCTTTTTTTTTTTTTCCTTAGCAATGAAGAATTGTTATCTATTTTGCATATAGATATGTGTTTTTAGTGTACTTTGTCAACTTTGCTAGTATATTATGTTTAAAAGCACTTCTTTTTAAACTAGCTTCAAACGCTAAAGATTTTAAACAGTACAGAGTACTTTAAAAAATCATGCCCTAAGCAATGATACTGCTATCAATTAATCAGGTTAATACAGTGTTCATCCAATGTTTGATGGTGCATACCAAAAATGTACTCTGACCTTGTGCAAAAGATGGCAAATTATTTATTTTTAGATAATGATTTATATTATTATTCAGATTCAGTCTGCATCTCTTTTGGACAAGGGAGGCCAGAGCTGGACACAGTACAGAACTGGACACTGCACAATACTCAGGAGTGGCCATGCAATGACACTTGTCAGCACTTCAGGGTGCAACATGTTACACCCCCATGGATTTATATATGTCCAGTTTGCTTAAATGTTCTTTAATCCGATTCTTCTCTGCTGAAATCTTCCTTGCTCCAGATTTTCCATCTAGTTTCAGGGACCTGGGATTCCTGAAGGCTGTCAATAAGGACTGAGGCAAAAGAAGGTGTTGAGTGCCTTGGCCTTTTCCCTAGCCTTTATCACCAGGTTGCCTGTCCCATTCAGCAATGGGATGACATTTTCCGTTTTCCTGTTGCTGCTTAGTTAAGAAGGTGAACCTTGCTATTCATATTTTAATCAAGTCATATTTTCTCTTTGTGAAAATCATCATAGTACAATATGGTGAAATAGGACTGAAAAGAGATTACAAGCAAGCACCCTACATGCTTTAAGTATGTCTGTGTTGTAACACGTACAAGTATCAGTTTATTCATTGATTTTCACCTGCTTGTTTCTCTCCTGTTGCTTGTGTTAACATGTGAGTCAGTGCTCTGCTTTTGAACTCTTCTGCTTTGCTGGGCATGCCCATGTGAGTAAGCAAGCTGATTTATATAGGGTAGTAATTGTGCCTTTCATTCCTGTTACCTTTTAAGAAACAAAACTGAGAAAATACCTTTTAACAATTCTTTAACATTTTAATTTTGTTTTTGTAAGGATGATTTCAGTTAATCTTTATCAAGCCATTGTCTCACCACAGATCATCAAAATCACAGATCATCCCTATGTCCTCTGGCTACTAGTGACGTAATGTTCCAGTCTTTTTGTTACAAGTAAAGATGCTTCTTGACAAGAAGGGCTGTGGGTTTTTTGAAGTTATTTGCAGCACTTTTTAGATTGTTTAACTTTATGCCAGTGATCCCTCAGGAATTTAAGAACATCACAATATTTAAATTATTTAATTTTCTTGCCACAGAACTATTTTAATATTTTAGTATCAGATTAAATAAGTATTTAATAGCAGATCTCTCAGTCTAAGATAAAGTGTTTTCATTTAAAATATATGCACCTTAAACACCAATAATGGATGTAAGAAATTATTGCAATAGTACATGCAATCAGAAAATTTTGTTTTATTTTCTGACTGTTAGATTCTCAAGAAAAGCTTAATGCATTTTTATTTTTTTTTTACTCTATTCTGTAAATCTAAATAGATGCTTATTTTGAGATACGCTGTCTTTTCTGGCATGGAAGATTGTAAGATTCTTATATAATAAAAAAAAATCCTAAAGAAAATTGTAGTAGTTTTATGATTTAGTTATTCTAATCTTTTAACGTACACATTAAAAGATTATCCAGATTGGATCTTTGAAGGCAAACAGTTCTACTGGTTATTACTTTACTAAGGTACCGGGAACAAAAATGTGAGATGTCATAACCCTTATACACTAACAAACTCTATTTACAAATCATCTTCCCTCTTTTTCTGCAAAAATTTTAAGTGTTTTCCTCTGCTACTATTTTGATTCTCCAAAAATTATAAGTGTTTTCTTCTGCTACTATTTTGATAATCCAAAAATTATGTGGGGCTTTTGTTTTTTTTTGTTGTTAATTTGTTTGTTTGTTTGTTTGTTTAATAAGCCACTGAAATCAGCTTTAAAAAAAGCAACAAACAATACCAGTTGTTACCCACCTAGCTATGTAAAGAGATCTTATTACGAAACCTTGACAACAACATGAGTTTTGCCAGTGGAGCAGGAGTGAAGACTGTTCTCAGTCACCATCTGGTGATATCTCAAGGAGTTTAGCAGCTGAAACCCAAGAAAAGGGGTGGGCCAGTTGTGTGCACGTTTTCAGTTACGTTGTCATAACAGATTCCTCAGTGTGATTTTCTGACGCTGGAATCCCAGCTCCCATCAACTTGCATCTGCTTTCAATCTTCCTCCTGTTCTACTGCTAAAGTGTCCTGTGAAGAGTAATTGCTAAGACATGTTTTCTGTATTGGCATGCTGTAATAGCATCTCCTAAACACTACAGCAAGAGTAA